GGGCTCCCCGGGCGGTCCCCAGGCTCCCACCTCGTTGGGGAGCCGGAAGCTCTGGAATTGAAGAGGTTAGATATTTGTTTCCCTTGAGTGAGGATTGAGTTTCCGTCTGGCAGGCGTGGGTGAAGGGATGGCAGGTGGGGTGGGGAGTCAGCGGGCTCCTGGTCACAGGGCTGTTAGGATGGTCCAGAGGAGCCCTGATCCTGGAGGGGCCTTCTGGGGTCTCCACTGGAGGGCTCCCAGCACGATGGGGGTCAGGTCCCCTCTGAGCCCGCCCGGCCCCCCCATGCTTTTAGCCACGGCGCCCGGGACCATGCCGTAGGCCTCAGTGCCTGCTCTGCAAGGCTTCCCTGAGGGCTGTGCTGGGCTTGCGGACTTGTGGGGGCTCCTCCCTGCTCTGTGGGGGAAGGTGCTCTCAGGCCCAGTGAGGTGACCGGGAGCTTACACTCTTGGGGGTCGCCCCTGAGCTGCCAGCATCCAGCTGCCTCACCCCTCGGCCTGCATTTTTAAAAAAAAATATATTTTATTGATTTTTAGAGAAGAAGGGAGAGGGAGAGAGAGATAGAAACATCAATGATGAGAGAGAATCATTGATTGGCTGCCTCCTGCACAACCCCTACTGGGGATCGAGCCTGCAACCCAGGCATGTACCCTTGGCCGGAATCGAACCCGGGACCCTTCAGTCCGTAGGCTGACGCTCTATCCATTGAGCCAAACCAGCTAGGGCCCTCGGCCTGCATTTTATTGCTTCCAGCAGGATGGCCAGGTCCAGGGACCCTCTGGGCCCGGCAACGTAGGCCAGATGGTGAGCAGCACGCTGGTCCCAAAGGTCAGAAAGGGGCTGTGCGTGCTCTCAGGCCTGAGAACTGTGTGTCATAACCGCAGTCACAACAGCTCCGGGGGCTCGGAGGCTCAGGCCGGCCTTGGAGGCGCTGAGCCCCAGCGGGGAGGTGGGTGGCTGGGGGAGGGGCTGGGAACCTGGCACCCCGTGCCTGAGCTTCGTGGGAAACTATTGGGAGAGGGGGAAGGGGCAGCAGGCCCCCGAGGGTGGGCTGGGCAGGGAAGGCCCCGGGGGTCTTCTCCTTCGCTCCCACAGGCAGGACGTATTATCTGCTCGATGGAGGCCCGGAGGCCCACTGTCCAAGGTCACCGCTGGCAGCTCTGTGCCTGCCCTGGCCCCCGAGGGGCACAGGAGTGGCCGTGTGCTGGCCTGGATCCCAGAGCCAGGGTCCTCTCAGCTGCCCCAGAGCTTGCGAGTCAGTGCTCACCTGGCGCAGGTGTGGCCTGCCCCGCCCTCCTGCCCGGGCTTGGCCTCCTTCCAAGGGGAAGCAGGGGAGGCCCACCCTGTGGAGGCTGGTGGCTCGGTTGGTTCCCAGGTGCGCCTTGGCAGGTGAGCGCCTGGCCCCCAGTTGCCCGAGGGGGGAGGCTGCTGCCCAGAGGCCACGGCTGGGAGCGGGAGGCTGGAGCCTCTGGGTCTGTGGTCCCCGCCCCACAGCCAGGTATGCAAAGGTTCAGGGCACTTTGCCTGCGATTGCCTGGCTCCGGCTGTGGCAGGGCTGTGGGCGAGGGCATTCCTGACGAGGAGGTGCTGGCACTTCCTCCTCGCCCCGGCCATCACGGGGAAACATGTTTCCCTGCTGGATTCCACCCGCCAGCCCCCATCCTCCGCTGGAGGCACCCGTCTTCCTGGGCACACCCTCAGAGTTCACTGTGACCCCGTTTGGGGCAGGAATAAGCTGGGATGAGGCCTGCCCCCTGCCCCCCTCCCAAGCGGGGTCCACAAGTTGTCCACCTGCCTGTGTCCCCCATCCCTCGCCTGGGTCTTTTGGTCTCTCTTGCCCCACCTGGTGGGATGGTGCTGGGGCGCCGAGCACCCAAGGGGACCTCTGGCCTTTCCTGGGCAGCCAGCTGGCCTCCTACTGTGCAGCCACGACCCAAGCAGCCACTGTGGGGCAGGCCCGGGAGCAGGTAACCAGCCTGGTATTGCCTCAGCACGGTCCCCGCCGTCTCCCGGTCCTAAAGCTTTCAGGAGCCGTGACCATCTGCAGTGCTGGTTGGGCATCTGCGTGCGCCTGAGCCCTGCCTCAGAGGGCGCAAGTGCTGACCAGCCATCGCCACGCGCAGCATAACCTGAGCCCTGCTCCCCCCTGGGCTTCCTGTGCGTATCCATTCCTCCTGCCAGTGACCGCGTCTGTGGTTCAGACGGCTCCTTGGAGCTGAGGTTACCTGCTTGGAGCTGAGAAATTTTTTAAAAGACAAGAACAAAACCAAAACATAGTTAAAATGGCAAATTTTATGCTCTATATATTTTACCACAATTAATTCTAGAGAGAGAAGGAGAGACAGAGAGCGAGAGCGAAAAAAAAAACATTGATTTGTTGTTCCACTCACTGATGCATTCATTAGTTGCTTCTTGTATGTGCCCTGACCGGGATCAAACCCACAGCCTTGGAGAATGGGGACAGCGCTCTACCAACTGGGCTCCCCGGCCAGGGCTTACATTCTTTTAGGTATATATTTAGGAGTGGAATTGCTGGGTCGTATGGTAATTCTATGTTTAACTTTTTTTGAGGAACCATCAGGTTATTTTCCACAGCGGCTGTACCGTTTTTTGTGATCTTACCAGTAACGTACAAAAAAGGGTTCCGATTTCTCCACATTGTCGTCGCTTGTTACTTTCTGCTTTTTACATGTAGCCATCCTAGTGCGGGTGAAGCAGTATCTCATTGTGGTTTTGATTTTCGTTTCCCTAGTGACTGATGACACTGAGCATCTTCTCATGTGCTCATTGGTTAGTTGCACGTCTTTGGAGAAATGCCTATTCAAGTCCTTTGCCGGTTTTTACATTGGGCGGTTTGCCTTGTGTTGTTCAGTTGTAGGAGATCTTTACATATTGTGGATTCAAGATTCTTGTCCAATCCTAGCCGGTTTGGCTCAGTGGACAGAGTGTTGGCTGTGGACCAAAGGGTCCCGGGTTCAATTCCGGTTAAGGACATGTACCTTGGTTGCAGGCTCCTCCCTGGCCCCGGCCCTGGTCGGGGCGCGTGCAGGAGGCAACCAATCGATGTGTTTCTCTCATATCGATGTTCCTCTCTGTCTTTCCTTCTCTCTTCCACTTTCCCTAAAAATCAATGGAAAAATATCCTCAGGTGAGGATTAACCAAAATAAACTAAATTAAATAAAATCCTTGTCCAGAACTGGGATTTGAACCCACTCTGGACGCTGCTCCCTGGGCAGAGGTGGCCTGTGATTCTAGGATTCGGGGACCCTGATACCCCCCAGCATCTCCCAGCAGATGAGGGCTGTCCTGCTGTCCGGGAGCCAGGACCTGCCCGAGGGGACGGACACTGAGAGGTGCACTGTGTCCTCGCCGTCTCACACTGGGACACACGGCCCACAGAGGTGGGAACGAACCCATGGCCACAGAACTCCGATTGTGAGCCTGAGTCTTCCCTCTGGAACAGACTCCCTTTGCCATGTTGCTGTGTTCCTCTTTGCATACTCCCAGGGACAGGCAGCTCACCACCTCTGAAACAGCCTGGCCTATGGCTGGGTGGCTCTGACAGAAAGGGTGCTGTAGCCGGACACCCTGGCTTGTCTTCGTCACTGGAGAGACGTAACTACACCTTGAAGGCTGGCGTCCCCACGCCAGAGGCACCTTTTCAAGAGGGAGGCTGGGGACATGCCCTCGGTGCTGGCTGAGCCCAGGCATCACCCTGAGACGCAGTCTCCTCATCTGTCAATGGCACACAGGATGGCGGGAGGGAGGAGGGCCTTGGATCGGTTGAGCTGGCCTGTCATATCCTTCTGGACCAAGCACAGAGGGGGAGCCACTGCCTGGGTCACTCGAAGGAAAGAGCTGGGCAGAGCTGGGCAGGACTCAGCCTTGGCCTGGCCAGTTCCAGTCGGGGCCCAGCCTCTGCTGCCGTCCTGGGACCCTCTTCATGGGACAGCCTGGGAGGGTGAGCCTGAGGCTGCCCACTGCTCAGGAGGGTGGACACCGCCTGTCCTGAGGGGGTCCTGGGACGAGCCCCACCCGTATAGCCTCAGTTTCCCTCTCTGTGTATCGTGGTGCTGAGTGCCCACCGGCTGTGCCCGGGGAGGCGGGACGGAGCAGACCTGGTGGGCGTCTGTCACCCTGTCCGTCCCTGTCCCTGGACGTAGCACCCTCCCCGGCCTGGGCCTGCCGGCCCTCCTGCCCGCAGCTGCAGAGGTTCTAGAAGGCATGGCTGTCTTGATAGAGGGTACGCCCCCCACACCCCTTTCCCCCCGTTCCTGCAGGGCTTGAGGCTTCTGGGCCGGGAAGGCGCCCATGGGCTTGGCCAACCCCAACTCTCATTGTTTTTTCCTTTTCTGTGAAATGAAACATAGAAAATACAAAAGATACTATAACAAACACGCCCCCCCAAATAAACACATTCAACATTTTATGGCACTTCCTTCAGATCTTGTTTTAAGAACTGAAACACTTGAGAGCAAGCCCGAGCCCTCCATGTGCTCCTCCCCAGCCGCCTGCCCCTCCCGGTTCCTGATATGCCTGGTCCACCTGGTCACAGTCTGCTGCACCGTGTGTGAGGTTCACGGGCGCAGCCGGCAGCTCCTGGCTCTGCAGCTGCTCTGATTTCTGATTACATTTCAGTGACCTGTGGGGACACCTGCTCTTTATATAGGCTGATGGCAAAGCCCCCCACCCCCGGGAAGTCTCCCCAGCGCCCCCAGGCGGTGGGGAGGAGGCAGGTCTGCCTGTCTGGGTGCCCACAGGCCCGGCTGGTCCTAGGTCCAGAATCACATGCAGGGCAAGGTCTTAGCATGATCCTCGAGGGCGAATTATCCCGTGTCACTGCCCAGGGGCTTAGTGGATGGCGGAGGAGGACCGGAGGGAAGCCAGTGGGACAAATGGAATGAAGGGAGGAAGGGAGGGAGGAAGGGAGAGTGGGCAGATGGCTGGGGGCCCAGGCGGCCGAACCCCCCTCACCACCTTCTCTCCTGGTCCTACCTGCAGCCAAGTACCCGGCCATCAAGGCCCTGATGCGGCCGGACCCTCATCTCAAGTGGACGGTGCTGGGGCTGGTGCTGGTGCAGCTGCTGGCCTGCTGGCTGGTGCGGGGGCTGGCGTGGCGCTGGCTGCTCTTCTGGGCCTACGCCTTCGGCGGCTGCGTGAACCACTCGCTGACGCTGGCCATCCACGACATCTCGCACAACACGGCCTTCGGCACGGGCCGCGCCGCCCACAACCGCTGGTTCGCCATCTTCGCCAACCTGCCCGTGGGCGTGCCCTACGCCGCCTCCTTCAAGAAGTACCACGTGGACCACCACCGCTACCTGGGCGGCGACGGGCTGGACGTGGACGTGCCCACGCGCCTGGAGGGCTGGCTCTTCTGCACGCCGGCCCGGAAGCTGCTCTGGCTGGTGCTGCAGCCCCTGTTCTACTCCCTGCGGCCGCTCTGCGTGAACCCCAAGGCCCTGACGCGCATGGAGGTGTTCAACGCCCTGGTCCAGCTGGTGGCCGACGCGACCATCTTCGCCCTCTGGGGGCTCAAGCCCGTGGTCTACCTGCTGGCCAGCACCCTGCTGGGCCTGGGCCTGCACCCCATCTCCGGCCACTTCGTGGCTGAGCACTACATGTTCGTCAAGGGCCACGAGACCTACTCCTACTACGGGCCCCTCAACTGGATCACCTTCAACGTGGGCTACCACATGGAGCACCACGACTTCCCCAGCATCCCCGGCTGCAACCTGCCCCTGGTAGGTGGCTCAGTGGGCCGGGGCGCAGCGGTGAGGGGTGCACGGTGTCTGAGGAGGCGGGAGGTGTGGCAGGGTGGACCTGGGGCCAGGCTCTGACCTCCTTTTCCTTTCATGCTGATCATGGGGTGGCCACGTTCTCAGTTGTGGTTCCAGGGCGAAGGGAGAGGCCGCACAGGAGAGGGGCCGGGTGTGCGCCCCGAGAGTGACAAGGTGAATCCCGGCAGGGCAGGGGCTCGAGGCGCATTTACCATTTAGACCGCTTAGTGTAAAGCAAACCTGATTGAGCCCAGCTATGGCATGTACTGGCTGTGCATCCTTGGGCAAACTGCTTGCCCTCTCTGTGCCTCTGCTTCCTCTTGTAAAACGGGGCAGCGGTAGTGATAGTGCGTGTAAAGCACCTCCCCTTCCTGGGTCCTGACTCCCTGTCCCTCCGCATTTCTTGTCACTGCCCGTGACTTTCCAGGGGCCCCACATGGCGGAGAGGACAGGGAGGGTTCTGTGACCCAAGGGGCTCAGCCTGAGTTGGTGCAGAGTGGAAGCCTCCGGGCTGGTGGCTCTGCCTTGGGAGGCCTGCGGATGGAGAATTTCTGAAGGAGAAGGGAGGGCAGGGAGGGGAGGAGGAGGAGTTCAGTCTGGTGTGGGTGGGATAGAAAGAGCTGAGGTGCCCCTCGGGGCAGGAGAGGGGGCAGTGGGGTCTTCTGTGTGTGCATGGTGTGCACATGCCTTTAGGGGTTTGCATGTGTGCCTGTGAGTGTGCCCGGTGTGTACATGTATGTGTGCATGTGGTTATGTGTGAGCCTTTGTCTGGGTGTGCAGGTGTTTGCGCCCTGGCCTGTGTGACCGAGAGTCTGACAGCCTGTGTGTGCAGCCCTCCTTCCCTCCTCTCCCCCTCCCACCCTGCTGAAGGCACTGAGGTCCGGCCCTGGGCTGAGCACCACCTCACTTAAGCCTCACCATAGCCGATTTGGCAGGTGCCCGCCTACCCACTATCCCCATTTCACAGATGAGAAGGTAAAGGTCGAGAGGGGAGGTGCCTGTCGCAGGAAGCAGCAGAGCCAGAACCTAGACTCGGTGGTTGTGAGAGTGTCTTTACTTCCGGGCAAAGTGAATGGCCCCGTGCTGGCGCCCGTGCAGGTCACCTGGTCTCCCCGAGCCCGTCTGCACCTATAACGCAGGCCCGGAGCACTGGTGTGCCCAGCGTGCCCTCCATGGGGGTGGTGGTGCTGCTGCTGCAGGTGCTGAGGCAGGGAGCACTTCCTGGAGGAGGCAGCTGAGGGTGTCGTGAGCAGGCAGGGGTGAGGAGCTGAAGGGAGACAGGGGTAAAAGATAGGCATTTGGGAAACAAGTACTGAGGCTGAGAGGTGGGCAATGGGGGGTGTGGTGGGAGCCGAGGCAGAGGGTTGGCAGGCTGGGGAGGGCACTGGAAGCGGGTGCGGAGCATGAATGACCAGGCCAGGCTGTGCCTCAGAACCGGGCAGGTGCTGGAGGGAAGACAGCCGGCCTCCCCCGGCTCCTGGGTCAGAAGCTCCAGCGCAGCCCAGGGACAGGTGCATATGAGCCTGGGCAGGGGGCAGAGACTGTGCCGGGGCTAGTGGCCAGCACCAGCCAGCCTCCTGCCGGGCTGAGCTGGACACAGGCACCCTGGGGATGACAGGGTGTGTGTCTCTGTGTACCCACGTGTCTGTGTGTACACGCTCATGTGTTTGTGTACCCACGTGTCTGTGTGTGTACATGCTCATGTGCACGCAGAGGCCTGTCTGTGCCAAGGCCTGGCCTCTGACCCCCGCCTCCCCGCAGGTGCGGAAGATCGCGCCCGAGTACTACGACCACCTGCCGCAGCACCACTCGTGGGTGAAGGTGCTCTGGGACTTTGTGTTCGAGGACTCCCTGGGGCCCTACGCCCGGGTGAAGCGGGTGTGCAAGCTGGCAGGGGACGGCCTGTGAGCTGGGCCGCTGGCGCCGGCCCGTCGCTGTGGAGCTGGTGGTCACGGCCCTCAGGCTGGTGCTCAGAACTCCGTGGCTGCCTTTGGTCCTGGACCCCTGAGCTGCTGCTTGTCCCCAGGTTCCAGTACCAAGCCGGGACAGCGGACACAGGCTCTGCACGTGGACTCGCTGCTGCCTCCGGCCAGGCCGCCCTTTCTGAGCCTCCCGGGGCGCCCTGACCCCGCGCTCTGTGCACAGCCTCCATGGGGCTGATTTGTCTGGTGGGCCCCTGCCCTCAATTAAATATCAGCGTTTCTTTCCACATCCACGACGTGCTTTTGAGGGGTCTCGGCCCCGGCCTGGCTGCCTGGAGGCGGTCCCCACCTGCTCCCGCTCCTGCTCCCACGCGTGGGTGCTTAGCAGCATTTCCTGAGGGCCCTGCCTTTGTGGGGGGCAGCCTTTGGGGGTGTAGGCAGCAGAAGGCCCCGCATTTTTGCCAAGTCCATGTGCCCCGAAGCCCTCCCTCCTGTTCACCCTGCTGGGTGCTGCCAACATGGCCTCCCCTCGGTCCATGTCGTCTGCTCCAGCCCCCACCCCCGCCCCCCACCCCCCAATCCAGCCTCGAGCCTGCACCCTCGTGGGAAGCCTTCGGAGGCTTGAGGGTTCAGGCTTCACACCATGGGGTCTGTCCCCCCAACCAGCTGAGATGTGGGACTTGAGATTCTCACAGACCAGGGGCCACAGGTGGCTGGACAGACAGGTGACTAGTCAGAGGGAGGCGGGTGGGTGTCCCGTGTCTCTGTGAGGGGGACATGGCTCTGCCTGACTTTGGTGAGGCCGATGGCACGGCTGATCTCGGGAGTCATCCTTCCTGTCCGCCCTGGGCCCCCCTCTCCCAGCCCCGAGACTGCAGGCCTCCTGGACCGGGAGGTGGGAGGGAGCAGGAGAGCAGCTGACGCGGGCAGCCTCTCAGAGACCGGAGCCTCAGGCCCACCTCCTGGCGGGCAGATCAACCCCCTTCCCTTCAGAGCTGAGGACACTCAGTGGGATGAATATGTCCAGAGTCTGATCAGGAAAATCGGTCCATCATCAGCCAGACTGGGGCCTGCCCCACCCCCCATCCTCCCGTGGCCCTCATGCGGCTGGGCACACTGCTGTCTGGTGGCCGCGGCATGGTCACTGGATTTCCAGGCCTGCCCACGGGCTAGGCCGAGTCAGACCCTCCCTGGCTGGTCTGAGAAGGGCTGGCAGGTGCCTCAGGGGCGTCCCTGTGGGGGCTCAGCAGATGCCAAGCCAACCAAGCGCTGGAGGAGGAGGGGTTCATCCTCCCGGCCCTGCTGGTCAGAACGCACTCGACTCCCTCTGATGTTCCAGGCCAGGCTGCCACTCAAGGCCACGTCCCACTCCCCTGTGGGTGTGGCTCCGTGGCCACCCCAGGCCCCCAGGAAGTGCCTGAACTGCCTGCTCACCCTCCCGTCCGTCCCAGCTGCCCCCACAAGGCCCCCATCTTGTCCTGGTCACCACTGCCGGGAGACCTTCCCCCACAAGGGGTGCCCAGCCAGAAGCGACCAAGAGGAGGCGAGAGAGTGAGCGGAAGCCGGGGTGTGGACAGTAAGCGTTTATTACCACGTGGACACAGACACCGAGGGGCGTGGACAGACTTCACACCGTGACGCTGGGAGGAGCTGCTGGCACAGTGCGCCAGGCCCAGGTGCGAGGGGCACCCAGGAGGAACTCGGAACCACCTAATGAAGCGTGTGGTTTGGGGTATCTTTTCTATAAACCAAAAGAAATGTACACTTAAATAGACAAATATAAAATACAAAAAAAGGCGAGTAGACCTGGTGTTCTGTGTCAGGTAGAATCTAAAAAAATCCAGGAATTGAACTTTTCCCTCATTTTAATATTTTCTCACAGGTTAAGACTTAAGTGAAACACATCCTAGCTTCAGTGCGTGCTCGGTGGCTGGAGGCCTGGCTGTGCTCCTCTGTCCCCGCCGTCCATCAGGGGGTCGTGGCTCGAGCCCTGCACGCTCTACGAGGTGCTGATTCCGCTCAGCTCCTGCCTGATGGCTGAGGACAGGAGGAGAGGAGAGGGCAGCTCAGCTGTGGCGGGAACCAGCCCACCTCCTCCTCCGCAGGGCCCGCCCACCTCCGGTGAGGTCGCTCCAGCGCCTCTGGTCTCCTGAGACCCAGGCTCGCAGAGGTCAGAGGCCCCGGTGAGGTCTGGGGGGCTCCCCTGCACCCCCAGCTGGCAGTCTTGCTAGAGGCCCGCTGGGGTGGGGGCAGTGGCTGCAGGCAGCCTTGGAGCCGGGAGGGGCAGGCAGGCACCAGGAGCCCCAGGCAGGTCCGGGCAGGTGGGCACCTCCCCACCCCCCTCCCTGGCCTGAGCTCTTCCCCCAGGAAGGCAGGGATTCTGCTTCCTCCTGTCCCCACCCCCAGGATTTCCCCCAAATCTGGGCCTTTCCCTGGACCGGGCCTGGAGCCAAGGCCACCAGAGAAAGTCCGATGAGAGCCGGGCCTTGTCAGATGAAAGGCTGCTTCCGGCCGCAGAGCCCGGACCCCCGGGGCCGCTCACAGTCGAGGCAGCTCCACCTGTGCCCGCAGCCCACGGCCCCACTGCCCGCTCCTCCCACACAGGCTGCTTCCAGCCCAGGCAGCCCCTCCTGGGGGTCGCCCAGCTATGAAGCCGAGTTAATAGTTGGCCTGTCTCCGTCCTGGCTCCAGCTCCTTCTCGCTGTCTCTATTCATTAACTCCTTATCTGTCCAGCTCAGGCCTGCGGGGACCTGACAAACAGGAACCCAGTGTTCTCCGCTGGGACCAGGACAGGGTGTGGCTCGGTCACCCAGGTAGGCTCTCACCCTCGCCTCCTCTCTCTCCAGAGTCCCGGCAGCCCTCTGCACCCAGCTGTGACTTCGTCCCCCGCTGGTGGGGAGCAGGTGGGGCCTGAGGCGCCTCCCTGCTGTCCCGGGGCCGGGGCTGGCCGAGCCAGCCCTGCCGAGAGCCGTCCTCCCCTCTGGCTCCAGGTCTGAGCCGCTGTATCAAAGGCTCGGTGGGGGCCCGGGCGGGTGTGACTCACGGTGGCCAGGCCCTGCCCTCTGGATCCAGGCTCTTTTCGGGGAGCGCCACCACCTGCTCCCCCAGCCCAGGCCACGCAGCTGGGAGCCGGGTCAGGGCCACAAAATGGCTCTGCTTCCTGGGAGGGGTGTATACTTAGCCAGTCCCTTCACCGTCTGAGCCTCAGTTTGCTTGGCTAGAGAATGGGGAGGGCCTGTGGGCTGTTAGGGGGAGAAGGAAACCTCCGAAGCACAAAGCCAAAGGCCTCTGGAGCCCTGGATGCCTCCCGGCCGGGCCGCCCGGCTCTGCCGCTGTGCGGCTCTGGTGGCGGCGGCTCTGCCCTCCCTCAGGACCAGGGTGAGCCCGACTCACCGTCGATGATCTCCTCCTTCACTTTGTGGAGCTCTCGGACCACCTCCTCCAGGATCTCCTGTGGGAGCAGAGCCTCAGAGGCAGGGACGGGAAGCCGGCCTTGTGGGGGTGAGGTGTTGGAAGGGGTGGGGGTGTCCTGGGCCTCCCTCCGGAGCCACAGCCCCTGCATCACCCTCACACACACCCCGGAGCCGGGGGGAGGATGGTGTGCCCGGGGGATGGGACACCCTGGCCGGCCCTGCCTGGCCTCCAGCACCTCAGGCCCCTCTGGAGTGGCCGGACGGCAGGGGATGTTTATTTCTGCGATGGGGGGCAGGGGTGGGCCTGGGGCAAATGCTACGACCCCCTCCACTGCTGGCTCCCTGACTGACTGAGGGCCCCACTGGGGTGGTCCCGGCCCCGGGCTCCTTCACAGCCTCTCAGGAAAGGACACGCTCACCTGCTTCATCCGGTCCAAATCGAAGGCATCCAGGGCCACGTCGTTCACACTCCCGGCCGGCTTCATCCTGGGGAGAGGACGGTGGGTGCGGTGAGGCAGGTGGCGGGGCCTGGCAGGCACGCCCCACACCGGGGACCGAGCCTGAGCAGGGACCTGGGCGCACCAGGGCCTCCTGCTTGGGGCGGGCCCTGCGGGATGAGACTGCCCCTTCCCGTGGCCCTTCAAACCCTCTTTGCTTGTATCTGTGGCCGCTCCTTAGCCACGCGAGGAGGGTTCTACCACCGCCTCCAGGACCTCGGGATGCTGTGACCATGTTTCCCAGCCAAGAGTCAGGGCTCAGGGTCCAACCGAGGAGCTGCTCCCTGAGCTGAGAGCTCTCGCAGGCGGCAATGCCCACGCGGCCTCCCTGGGAAAGAAAACACTGACAAGCTAGTCCTCGGCGCGGGCTCTATGTTCCTGGCAAACGGGAAACCAGCAATGGCGGCATTGAGGACAATGCGAATCGCAAAACCTGAGCAGCAAACACCCGCTTAAAGGCCTGACTGCAGGCAACGCCCTTGGACATGGCTTTGCTCTTTGGAGGCCAAGGTTTCCGTTTTCTGGGCTGCGTCTTTGAGAAGTTTCTGAACTAAAGCTGGTTCGAACTGTAACGTCTCTTCCACATGAATCTTTCCTGGAAAATCTTAGCAAAACACCCGATTTCTCTCCCCACATGGACAGAGAGGCGGGCGGGGCCTGCGTGTTCTGGGCAAGGACGTGGCCGAACCGCTGCAGGGTCCGTGGACGTGACGGCTGGTGGACACACCGTGACCGTGATCGGACGGATGAGAGCGTGTGGTGAAATCGAGGTCCGCTGTTGTCCACGGCCACGGAGAGGAGGCGTGAAAGCTACGGTGCTGTCGCAGCCTCGCTGGGAAACAGCACGGAGGCTCCTCAGACAACGAGAAACAGAGCCAGCAACCCCATGTCTGGGTTTTATGCGAAGGAGATGCAATCGCTGGAGGAGGGAATCTTGACGAGGTACCTGCACCCCCGTGTTCGCTGCAGCATTAGCCACAGCAGTCAGGACACGGAAGCCACCCAAGTGTCCATGGACAGACGGGTGGGTAAGAAGACGTGGAACATACACATGTGGTATTATTCAGCTGTGAGACAGAGGAAGCCACGATGTGTGGCAACATGGATGGACTAGAGGGCATGAGGCTGCTGGAATAAGCCAGGCAGAGAAAGACAGACACGGTATAATCTCACTTGTATATGGAATCTAAGAAAAAACAACAGACTTATCAAAACAAAGACTATGTTGGTGGTTGCAGGGGCTGGGGGGACGGGTGGAGGTGGTCCAGGGCACGCACTTCCGGTTAGCCGATGGATGCGCTCTGGGGATGGTGACTGGGTGGCAACACTGCATTGTGTGCTTGAAAGTAGCTAAGGAAGCAGATCCTGAGATTCTCACCACACACACCAGTAACTAGGCGAGGCTAACTGACCTCCCTGTAATCACTGCACAACGTATGCGCATGTCAGATACCACGCTGTACGCCTTGCACCTGCACAATGGGAGACGTCAATTGTAACTCAACACAGCTGGGAAAATCCCGCTGCCTGCCATGCAAAACTTCGGTGGCCCAGGGCACAGAACTGAATTAAAACGAATAAATTAAATGCTCCCCACCCCTCCCAGATGAACTCAAGAGAGAGGCCAAACGTGGTCCCAAATGAGTTTGTAAGTAACTGTGGGTACAGCCTGGAGACCTCCAGAGCCATCACACCCATCCTGTAGGTTCAAGTCCCTGTTGCAACGGAAACCTTCCGGGTCACCTGGGCCAACTGCCTCACCTCTGTGCCCCCGTTCTCTCCATACGAGGCATGTACACCCAACAGCCCCAGATGGTGGCACTGTCACACCCCTGTGAGCGCAGGGACGCCCCTGCCGGAGGGACAGACCGCGCTAGAGAACGGATCTGTCTCAGGGCTGGAGAGTCCCCTTCTGAGGGGGCACGGGCAGCCCGCCCTTCCTCCAGCAGCAGGAAGTGACCACTGTGCCCCGGACACCCTGCCCCTCCATGCACCTCCCTTCACAGCCGAGCGAGCTCCCCCAACAGCTGACAGCCCAGCGCCTGTGTCAAGGGCGCGTACCTGGGCCTGCACACAGAGTCCAATCACGAGATGCCTTCCTACCCACTGCCCTTCCTCTTTCCTTCCCACTTTGTAGCCACAGGGCCTCAGCAGTTCCATGCCTCCGATGGGAAGGCGGTGCCCCCAATCTCAGAGCCACCCAGATGCCACTCTGAGGGAGGCCTGCCCAGCCCACTCGCTACAGCGCCTGTCCCCAGTGCTGTCTCCCATTGACCCTCCGAGCTTCCCGAGCACCTGTCAGAACCCACAGCCGTCCAACCACAGGCCTTCCCAGCAGAGATGAGGTCCCTGCAGGCAGGATGAGCAGGACCCCGCCCAGACCTGGCAGACACAGGCCCTGGACAAGCCCTGGCTGTCCCTGAGTCCTCTCCCTGCTCATCCCCCCTTTCGCTCTGCAAGACCAGCCTCAGATGCCACCTGCTCTGCCATACGAGGGGCTTCCCTCAATCTTGGTGGTCAATGGAGACATTTCTTACCCGGGTTCTGGAGCCTGCGGTTCAGGTCAACTTGGCCTCTGGTTACTATGGGGCTGCTAGTCTCTGACTTTCGGGGCTTCCTCAGTTTCAAATATCCTATGGGGCTGCTAGTCTCTGACTTTCGGTTTGGGAAACATGGTCAGCATATCCTATCCTGTTACCACACCAGCTCTTGGTTTGGGAAACATGGTCAGCATCCGCCCGGGAACCTGGCTGTGCGTGCTGTACGCGGAGGAAGGTGAGGAGGCGGGGCGCCGGGCCGGGCCCCGCATGGCTGAGCTGTGGGGCGCCGCTGTGGCTAGTGAGCACTTCCTGTGTCCAGCTCCTGTCCACACAGCTGTCCACACGGCCGCGCGTGAGGCAGAGGCCGACAGACTCTTCATGGGGTGGGGGTGGGGTGTGCCCAACGACACAGAGCCCAGAGCTGGGACTCCCTTCAGCTCCGCTCACGCCCCTTCGGGCCAGTCGCCCTCCCGCCCGTCTCTCCCTCCCCGAGAGGGAGGAGGAGCGGTCCCCAGCCAGAGCACCGAGCACCGTTAGACGACAGGACAGACACAGGGTCTGGTGTTAGTCACGGGCAGGGGACAACAGAGGCCCCAGAGAGGGGCGTTCGGTACCTAGAGTGAGGCTGCGACTGAAGGGGGCTCTTAGCTTCGGGGCTCTTGGCCACGGACGGGGTTCTAGGGCAGGGGAATGAAACAGACACGTGAATGGGCACCGTGGCGGCCTCGGCCCCACCGACGGCGCAGCTTGAGCCTCCGAGGGGCCGCTCACCTGGACAGCAATGAGGACACGGGCTTCTCCACGGAGTTGCTCCGCTCCCAGGGCTTCCGGCCGGCCTCTGTCAAGTCACGTCAGGACGAGGGGCCTTAGGGCTGAGAGGACCCAGGCCCCGCCCAACATCCCTGACAGGAGGGCCCCCCCTCCCCCCGTGCCCTTCAGGAAGCTCTGCTTTGGGGGAGCTGATGCCTGGCTTGTCCTCAGTCCCCCTTGGGCCCAGGCAGCTCTTGCAGGCTGTGGATGACCCTGCTGTCACCCGTGTCTCCCCCACTCAGGACCTGGCTGGCCTTGACGTGTGGTCTGGTTTCGAGCCTCACCATGAAAGCCCACCTTCCTTAAAGTGCGAACCAAGCGCCAGGGAGCTCTCAGCTACGCCCTCTGCCGTCGGAGTGGCGCCAGCAGGGGGTGAGCGGGCAGAGAAAGCCACGCCAGGTGCTCGGCCAGCCTGAGGCCCACGTTTGCTTTTGGGGGCCAGGCCCCTGGGGCCCCACGAGCACCTGCTGTCCTCTGACTCATTGGTGCTCCCCACAGGACAGCTGGCCCTTCCCTATCCTGGGCGTGAGGGCTGGTTTGTTTTTCCTTCCTCTTTTTTAAATTAAGTGGCATTAAATTATATTTCCCTTTTGTCAAGAGATCTGTCAAAATGAATTGAATTTACTGACTTTGTGGATGAGCAGAGAGGCAGAAGGGAAAATGCCCAGGCAGCGGAGAGGCCGACCGCAGGCCAAGGCAGGTCTCCTGAAAGCCACCCCGGGGACCTGCTGGCACAGGAGCTGGGACACATCCACGCTGCAGGCGTGTGGCCCTGAGCGAACCATGTAACTACACTGAGCTTCGACCTCCTACACTGGGCCAACACCAGCCCCGTGGCCTGGCGGGAGGTATTTACACACTCGTTCACCGAGAGCCCACTCGGCATCCCAGGGAGCAGTCCCGCCAGGGAGGCAGACGCGCTAACAGAGGGCCAGGCCACTAGGTGGGGCAGGTTGGAGCTCCTGCCCTGGACAGGCTGGCAGGCAGCGTCCTCTCGTGTGAGGAAGAAGGGCTGGGTGGTGGGGCTGTGGCCTGCAGCTCTGATGCTCATGGTGCTATCTTTGGTGCTAGAATCCTTGTCCTGTTCATTAAGAGTTGGGGTTACCAGAATGGTTCTTTGGGGTAGTTTCAGTAGGCCCTAGAGTAGAGTGTGGGGTG